TTTCCATTCTACATCCATTCCTTTCTTTAGCAAAACCAATATTAAGTTTTCTTTTTCCCATATTTGGAGATCCATACCTCTAAATTTGAAATGTTTTTATGAGTATAAAAAAATGGAATATACTCGGTGTCTAAATCTTTTACTTCTTCTATTTTAGTGTCTTAATGAAAAAAAAAAAAAAATTGATTGTTCTTAATTTGTAAAATTTTGCAAAGTTGATATCTTCCGAATGACGTGATATATCGAAACCTGATTATACACATGTGAGATTCTCTAATTTTTATTATGTAGCGGCTTACTTGGCAAGAAATAAGCTAAAATATTTGTTATAGTGAGGTCCATGATAACATGAAACGATGAAAAATCTCTCTAGTTATGACCTCTATTTAATTCTTCCTACTTCCTCGTTCAACGACAACTTGAAAATATAATTATATTAACAAAAAAAATGTACTTTAACAAAATTTATTCAACATGAATACAAGGAACAGATTCTATAAAATAAGAATTCAATTCATATTAACTAAGAGAATAGAAATTGAATTGATTCTTGTAAAGTGAGCTTTCCGACTATACTAAATCATTTGTCCAAAATCTATGTGTATTTATAATGAAATCATATATTCCTTATTATTACAATTGGAAAATAATGATACGAAACAAAAAGACAACAACTTGCTAAGATCATGCCTAAAGAAGGCTTATTTACCTATTTCACATCCAAACCAAAGCCTTTGAAAGTATTATATATGAACTCTTAACCCATAGTAGCTATGGCTTGCATAGGTAAACAAAATTTAAGATACAAATTAATAAACTGACTTACATATTGTGGAAAAGGAATACCATACTTTCCCCTCCCAAACAGCCCTTTAGAAAATGGCCAAAAACAAAATCAAAAACCAAAAGGCTAAACGACATCTCTCCAAATGGTAATCCTTTCCCATCTTCTAATAGATAATATATAAAACCCATAACTAATGAAGCAAGGTGCAGTTATGCAAAAGAGTAGTTCCAGGCACAAATATTGGTGACCCTCAATGTAAACCTACCTGCCATCGGAAGTAAGATTGCTCTTTTTGGGTAACTTCAAATACTTGTATCTCTGAAATTCCTAAATCTTTAAATATTACACTTAAGAAGAAACTCCAAATACTCCGCCACCTGTTGAGGTTATTAATTGCCATTGCTCTGCTTATTCCAGCCAATGCTCGGATTGGGATAATCCAGTTTTGAAGTATTCCAAATAGAGTATATGTAATTGGTAAATTATCAAAAAGGGGCAATATAGCCATTGTATGGCTGGAATCATTAAACTCTGCATTACAATGCAAAATTTTTTAGTGAAAATTCAAAGAATAAAAATTAAATTTACTAAAATTTCTAAAAAATCTCCAATGCAGCAATTTTGGTGTCATAGCCCTACCTGGTCAGTATGTCCGCTTTAGGCTTTGGCAACCTCACAGGATTTTTGTCGCCTCAGGCAGGCTTTGCAGAACCCGCCCAAAAGCGCACTAACCAAGTTAAAGGCTACCCCTCTTATGTATAGATCGTTTACCCCGTCCTTAACCGATGTGGGATTTGCCTAAGGTGTGCCTGGGCCTTGCCAACATACACCCCCCTTGGGGACCAGCGTCCTCGCTGAGGTTTTGCCCCACCACCGGCCAGAGGGCACAAGGGCCGGCTCTGATACAAATTTGTCATAAGCCCTGACCTGGTCAGTGTATTGTCTTGCTTTAGGATTTGATCCCAATGCAGCAATTTGGAATTCTTAATTTTATTTAAAAATTTTAATATTTTAAATATTGAATTTGGCTCATAATATAAGTTTATAATCATTTAAAATAAAAAAAATAATTAGAATTTATCGGTATCTATATATACACACACACATGAATTGAGAAAAAACACAGGAACTGATAAAAAAATAAATTAAAGGAATAATTTATATTTAGAAGCAATTCCATTTTAAATTTTTAATATTAAAATGTATTTAATAATGTCATAAATAAACTTTCTCACTTATAAGAAAATAGCAGTTGTATATATATTAAAATGTGTAACAATCATTTTATTTTGTTCTTTCCATGTATAATGTTGAGAACATATATAAAAGAAAATTATTTTATATTTTTATATTTTGCTTGAGATGTCAATTAATTTGCATAAGTCTTTAAAATTTTAGTAAAATTATAACTACCGAAAATTTCTTTAATTTTGATTATACATGCTAAAATAAATCCATTTTTACAGTATTACATAATTATTTTTTCATTTAATAGTGACAAATTTCTAAGCACTTTTACTTTTATTTTAAAACGTTAAAATGAAAAAAAAATTTCAAATTTCAAATTTATACAAATAAAATATATTTTAAATATCCTAAATTTAATTATAAAACATGCCTAGTAATGAAAATATATGAAACAATGCAAGGCAAGTGCTAATTAGTAAAATCAGTTTTAAACTAGATTTCACCTTGGGGCAAGAAATTGGAGTTGGTGATGATACAGTAAGCAGTGGCAACACCATATAGCAGCAGCTCAGGAATTGAACGCAAACCCCACAAAAGTGACCCACAAATAGGGCCAAACACTGCTTAGTTGAAGTTTCCCAAAAATGGTGGCAAATATAGGATTTTCTTTTGCTTACTAATATTTCAAAGTAAACCTGTGGCCCACCTCTTTTGTTGGGTCATTGAGGTTGGCCCACCTGAATGGTGCAACCCAAGAAAAGGCGGGTGGGTCGGGTTTGCAATATAACGGATCTCCAACCTTCTTTCCATGGATCTTTAGATTCCGTTAGACATTTCTTCTGTTGTGGAATGGCCATATTGCCAACCAACCTAAGATAATCCCAAATTTCATCAAATACCCATACGTTAAATGCTATGCATAAATTCACCCCATTTATTTTATGTACAAAAAAAAGCTTATGGCAATCTATTTTTTTAACTTTAAATTGATTAAACACTTTCAAATTTTAAAAATTATATTATTAAATAGTTTTTGAATTAATAAATTATTCTATCGAAATACTGAATTTTTTAATATTAATATCGATTAAATAAGTTATTGAATAATTGAAAAATGTGAAAATTATTATTTCAATAAATTATATTAACTGCACAACAAGTGAATAATTTTGCATATAAATATTAAAACTACTCCCAAATATTATTATTACTTCGTGTCGTGAAGGGAATAACATGTTAAATGAAAGTTTGTGACTTCAGGAGCAAAGTTTTCTAACCTGTTTACCCACGCAAGTTCCAATACTCGTAGCCACAAGCAGCGACGTGATAAGCTGCCTCCATGAATCAGAAAGATCGTTTGGTCCTATTTGTCTTCTCTTCCAATGCATTAGCAACTGATGTGATTAAACTCCTTTGAGTTTCGCAAATATATTTAGCAATTCTTTATTCATGCCAAATTAACCTGCTCACCCAGTCCAATTATTTTCATTAATTTGGTCATTAGGGATAAATTCCAATAATTAACAAATAAAATAAAAAAATTGAAGAGAAGCCCATAAGTAAATCCTACAGTTAATTTACCAGTACTGGAGTGGAGAAATTTAGCAAAATCTCCAAATATCATTAGGCATAAACCATAGATTACTTTTCCTCCCTGTGGTAAAACATCCTGTCCCACCGTAGAAAGGTTCCTTGAAGTCCTACTATTCCACGTCCCCATATACTAAAACAAATATCCAAAATATTAATTTTTTAAAAGTTCTAAAAAAATATTGGTTCAAATAAATGCAAACTTTTGTTAATAAAAAGAAAGCACATACTTTACCCAAAATATATTCAAGTTTCAATTTTTAAACCTCTTCTCTTTTTCCTTTAAAATTCCGGTTCCTAATTGCTAATAAATTGGAAAGAAAACTGAATTCCAGCTCACCTCCAATACAGAACCTACCAATTGATTTCCAAATGGATCATCCTTAAGTCCATCATAAAAAATCTGTGGGAGTTTGGACAAATGCCAGTATCCCCCTTCATTCTTAGAAACCTAAAAAGAAAGCCACATCGCTGACGACAAGTGTGGATTTATTCACAAAAACATGTCGCCAATCCACATTTAACATAAATGGAGCAATTTGTTATCAATCCAGAGACTCTGGGGTCTGTTTAATCAATCATTAAAAAGTAAAATTACATTAATCACTACCAGATATCTAATTAATTTTCATGATTGATTTAAATTGGGATGGAAAGAAAATACGTACCAGTACATTCATGGCACCATGCTTTGTAATGGTGTGGATGATTGGCCTCTTCTCAGTTCGATACATAAATCAGATGAGGCAACCGCATTTTGAAAACCCCTTCCTTATTTTCCCACATAATCTACAGAACAACCACAAAGTGTTAAAAATAATAAACCCAAATTAATTAAAATTTATTTTAAATTTTTTCTGAAAATAGGGTGGCCTTATTGCCAGAGTTTTGTTTATTTTATAGATTCTCATATATTTTTAGCATTTAGAATAATTAAGGAGTTCAAACGCCTCAATTAAAATTAATTAAAATTTGAAAATAATTAAAAAAAATAAAATAGGTACTGACCTTAATTAATAAGTACGGATGTTTTTACATTCTATTTTGGAAGAAAAAAATGCAAAAATCACCGGTTTAGAATCACAAGGAGTGGGATTTTTTGGGCCTGCATCTTGGATTTTGCTTGCTAAAAGCTCCTCGTACTCATCCTATTAATAAAATGACAAAAGCCAAAAAAAAGAATAATGTTATTTAATTATCAAAAAGTTTAATTTACATATTAAATCTATCCCAAGTCATGCACTAAGTATGGTATGTTATATATCAATTTAGCAAAAAAGTTAAATAGACAAGTTTGTCACATTCATATAATGTAATTTCTCTTTTAGCTTAGAAAAATTCAATGAAAAAACCTCACCCGACAAAGATTGGATAGGACAACTTAGCAAGAAAATTGTTGTTACCTTTCATTTTTTTTCATTCTTGTTGGAATTCCAATGACTAAGCATCAACTGACAACATAAGGCTTATGATCAAGTGGATGAAAAAGTATCTAAAGGGAGCTCTAACTTGAATGTTGTACTTCTTGCAAAAAGGGAACCCAAAGCTTAGCAAACTTGGAAGTTTCAAGCAGAGAGTAAAAGGTGAGAGGAGAACATCCATGCATCTGATAGATAGCATGCAGTTATTTGCTGGATAGATCAACTGCTAATAATGAATATTACTGAGGAGAACATCCATCATCTGATAGATAGCATGCAAGCTTATTTGCTGGATAATCAACTGCTAATAATGATATTACTGTGTTCATTGTTATTATAGGCGGTTCTAGCACTGGGTCTGCCGTTGTCACAAACATATCCACTGCTGGAAGAAACTTTTCCACTCTGTAAAAGAATTTATAAATAACAATAAAGAAAAACTTATAGTATAACAGAAAAAAAAAAATCGTATGTATATAATAAACTTTCATGTACAAATAAAGTTCTAGCTTGGAGACATAATAATAGACCAATCTTTAAGTTTACAGAAGCGTTTTCATTAGACCAAACTAAAATAAGTGTGGAACTCTGCGATTGGAAAATTTCTCAATGTGAAAAAAACACATAAACAAATAGTAAAGATTTAGAGAAATGAATTAAAAGGGCGCAAAAAAAGATACCTTTGAGGGAGGCGTTCTGGGTATGTTTTGTAATCCACAGGGTTCCATTTTGTGCTGACAGTAAGAACCCAGACAAAAGTAAACCATGACTCGCATAAAAGAGCAAGAAGCCAAGCAAAACCATGATTCTTGAGAGTTAAAAGACGATAAAAAATGAGAGAAGTTAGAAGAAAGAGGATGCAAATGTCCAAAGCTCTATGAATATGGTTTTTACGAGAAAATTTTTGATATAGAGGAGGAGAAACTGTATCCGCCATTGATGATTGAAGATGATGAGTAGCTATACGGCAAGCTTGGGCTATTTGTAGTCATAGAGGTGTATGCATATGGTTTTATACTTGGAATTCTTGCCGTTTGTTATAAGTGTGACGTACAATTATTTTTGCGTTTTGGGACTCCAGTAATTTAATAAATAAATTCATTATTTAAAAATTATTTGGTACACAAATGATATAAGTGGGATTTTTTTTTATATAATTTTAGTAATATTCACTATATACATAATAGGCAAAATGTTAATATCACGACTGTTCTTGTTATTGTTATTATTATTTTGGTTTATATCTCCATGATTCAGTTTGGTAATATTCAAGTAAAATTTCTTAATATCAGTGAATGAATTGAAAGTTAGAGGATAAAAAAATTTTCAAAAGTTCAAGGGCCAAAATAAAAAAATTTACTATTTAGTGGGTAAATTTGAAAATTTTCATTATTTTATGTAGAGGGTAAAGTTAGAAAAAAATATTTGGACTAATGGACCCACTCCTGATCCCTTCACGTCTATGGCTGTATTCGGCAATAATTTTTTAAATAACTTTTAACGTTTTGACGCAACTTAAAAAATTATTCGATAACGTAGCGTTTGAAATAGTTTTTAGAAGTTCTGGTAATATTTTGTGAAAAATTAATTCATATAACGTTTAACTTTTAACATTTCATGAAAAGTTACCCAAACAATTAACAATTAAACACTGTTAAAACAGCTAAACTGCTAACAAAACAATTATTTTACTGATCAGACTCTAAACTCTTGATACTAAGGACTATATGTTTTGAACTTTTAATCTTACAAGTAATATTCAGCTAAAGATATAATATATTGATATTAAACCAACCGTACCAAGAGTAATTTTTTTTCAATTTGATAAAATTATCCTTTACACTTTACTGGTCTTCTTCTATCCTGTTCATCTGGAAAGATATCTTGAAAAACAAAATATGAGGACCAAAACGAATAGCAAGTATTCACTTCATCATTCCCTGACTTGAGCAAAATTCTGGAATATTCTTGGATCCAATTATTGTAAATAAATTGGAAAATCCAAACTAGAAAAAATCTCTTCAAGTATTTTATTGATGCAATTGGAAAAAAAAAAATTAAAGAAAATTTCTTGAGCAACAGAATACGTTTCTGTCATATTATTGATTGATTCAAGTTGACCACTAATGCAAATAGTTGTATATGAAGACTTATTACTTAACTATAGTGTTAAAAACTATAAGAAAAGACAACTCTTTGAGGAACAAATCAAAATCATCAATTTTATATTCATCCACAAATATAAATCACCATTGCCGTAGTTATTTTCTATAGAAATTTTTCTTTTTTTTAACATTACCTTTTTACCCATTTCGATAACTGAAATCCAAATTTTATTGTTATTAATGGAACTCCTAATATTTTTAGGAACTTAATCGTAATTTATCTAAAAACTGTATATTTCTTAAGGACTATTAATAATATTTTATCCCAGATCGAGAGATCTTGCTCCTAATTCTACACCAACTTGATAGTAAAAAACACCGCTCCACACCAAACCAAGGCATAGCTTAGTGGTGAGTGCATAACAATCTAACAATAGATTCAAATTCGAAACTCTCATTTCTCAATACTACCAAAAAAAAAAAAAAAGAAAAAAAAAAAACCTCCTTATTCCATTCTCTAAATTTATCATCTTATCTATAGTACGTAAAAGTGGGAACTAAGTATATCCTTTGATATGTTAATTGGAGACTTTCAAGGGCTTCAATATTTTTGCTATATTTAATGTTTAAAAAATAAATTATTATTTTAATTTTAAATAAAGTTCAAAATGTTTAAAAATATAATAAAAAACTATACCAAAAATTTGGTTCCACAGCGTTTATATATAATATTATATATAGTAATTTAAAATTTTGGAATTTTTTCTTATTTAATATCTATTTATCTATATCTAAGTTTTTCTAAATTCAATCAACAATTCATAACACAGGATCATATATTTAGTTTTTTTCAAAGAATTCAACTGATAAATTAAGTTTAAACTATCATTAAAAAAAAAAAAATTGAAGTCCTAATCTTTAATTAATAAATTATTTTTTTATTTTATCGTTATAAATATTTTATTAAATATACTTGAATTTTAATGTTTGTCCTATCATCTAAAATTAGTTTAAGAAAAATATTATTCGCTCATAATATGAATATTATTAATCATGTCTTAACATTATATAAATATCTAGAGAATATAAGAGAAAAATTATAATCATATTTAATTCTATATAAGAATAAATTAATGAGTATAAAAAATGAGTAATACCGAATACTAACAACATATAACGTACGTCACAAAAAATACTAGTATCTCAAAATACTCCTAGAAAATTTTAGAACTACCAATTATTAACAACTGATGTTAATTAAATTATTAACAAAATACTCTTATGTATATAAACACACCATACAATATCTACATCTATAGTATATATAAAAATGAGAAAATGAGGGGAATAATGAGATTATTTACAATAACTGTAGTGAAATTTTATAAATCCTAAAATATCCTTTCAGATAGTTGATAATAATTTAAGTTTATTAAATAACATGATTTTTAATGATTGATAAATTATGATATTAAATTATTAATCAATTGAATTTTTTTAATAATTTTTATTAATTGATTTAAAAAGTTTACATTTAATTAAGTCTCGATTACATTCATTTATTTCTCAACTTCACAATGAATTAATTTCTAAATTAATCAATAATCATATTTATCTTTAACGGGATCTAAGAGTATTTATTTAGACTTTAATTTATATAATACATGTAATTATTTTTTTATTGAAATACCAGAGTATGTCCCTAATTTTTTCTTTAACATTTGTTTAAACTAAATTATTATATAAAATAATGAAAATATGTCAAATGAATAGGGAAAAACCATGAAAAAATAATTTAAGAATTTTTACTACCAAAATAAAATTATTTTCTCAAAGATGTAATGTGGTTGGATATTTAATATAACACATGATATTTTTTTTTTTAAAAGAAAAGCTGTATGAACATATTATTTTTTATGAAATACATATCTGATACTGAGATGTTCAAAAATTTTTATATTTTATTTTTTAAATATTTGATTATATTTTTTATTATAATTTAAAATATTATTTAAAATATTATTTTATTTAGAAGAGAGATAAAAAAAAGTATATTTTTTATAATAAATTTTCAAATAGAATATACATAGTCTTTCAAAATTTTTAAATTTTTTAGTTTTAAAATATATTTTTAAATAAAATGAAAATATCAGTGTGTAGGATGACGAATAGTTGTGTAGCGTGTAGTGTTATTTTGTCCATCATGCCTCCTAATGAATAAAAAATATTATTATTTTTAAATAAATACATATAGATAATTAAGCATTTTAAAAGTTTAAGTTCTATTTTTACTCATATTTTTTTCTTTATGTTCGTAAGATCTGATTGGATATATTTTTTAAAAAGTAAATTTTTAGATAAAATTTACATAATTAAACTTGGAATGGTAAACAGTTGAAAATTTTTATTTAAAAAAAATATAATATTTTATTGATATATTTATATATCTATATACATTAATACGTGTTTTATTAGGTGAGTCTTGAAAGAATTTTATGCTGAATAATAATTTCTTATGTTTCTTTTCGTTACTGAATAATTTGTAACTACTATCATTTTAATTTAGTAAATGATTAACATCGTCTTTGCAATAAATAGATGGTCTATTGATGATTAAGCATTTTTAGTTTTCTTTATAATTTTCTTACTATATCCTAAATCTGTTTGGCTTAAAATAAACCAGTGTTTAGAAAATTAGAAAAAAAAAACTAGAACTATATATTTCTGTTTAGGTCACTTTTAGGGTTTCAAGAGTTTGTGTGTATGTGCATATATTCATTTCTTTGGTACACTGGGTAAGTAATACTATCACTATACCCAAAGTGATTTCTATTATCAATTCATATCATCTTCTTATTTCTGTTCTTTTCTTTTACCTAGCAGTAAAAAAAAAAATTATTATTATTTTTCATTATAGTTATATATAGATATTAATTTGAGGTTGAGGGCATGAAATTAGAGATTAAATAATGTCTTAATTTTCTTTTTGGGCACCTATTAGGATTTTAAAAATCTGCATTTATAAATTAGGAACTAAAGGATTATGTCTCAGGAAAAAATAGAATTAAATACATAAGAAGTAATATTGCAAGTAATTTGTATAGCAAAGTGTAATATAAATTAACAGTTTGTATTTATTTTAATCTAAATAATGAGTATAGTAAACGTATAACATGCAATGCACATCATACAAAGACTAGTAATATATAAAATCAGTTATATCTTTAATATTCATTTTATATTTAACTACAACTAAACATTTACCTAACAACAACATTCATTTTGAACCGCTATTAGCTACCAACTACCAATAATTACTTTCAGCATTCGATTGTTATGAATAGTTAAAATTGAATGCGATTCTATATAATAATATAAATTTTTGAGAGAAATTTTTAAGACTTATAATATTTTATGGTTTATTAATTTGTGTTAAAAACATAATTAATTAGATAAAATCTAAGATAATTCAAAATATTGAAGACTAAAGTGTGATAAAATAACATTTTATTTTAACTATTACGAAGATTAAAGGATTGAGCTATTAAAAATCTCAAATATTAAAATTGCAAATTTTAAAAAATTATTAAAAAATATATATTAATTTAATGAGAATAATTGAGTAGGTAAGGACAAAAATTCTTCACTCACTACTGCGTGGTGTAGAAGCCAAACCAAACTTGTGGACATGTGACAAGATACTTAAGAGTCAAGAACGAAGTGTCGCCATTGGCTGATTCGTGAAAGATTAGATTCCTCAGTCATCTCTGTCTTTGTTTTTTTCCATCTCTACTTTGTGATATCAAATTTCGTACTTTTCAATACCAAAATCGTCAGAACTCTAACCATGATTACAATGTCTCAGTTCAAAGTTGGCAGCTGAGAGAAGACCATGTTATGTTATGATAAACCATGTAATTAGTGACAAAATATGTAATTAGTGATGAAATTTGGTTTCTCTCTCTT